AAGTATGTAATGATTCTCAATTAATTTCAGAGTATTTTCCACTGACAAGGACAATTTTTCACCTTGAATAATCAAATTGACCTTACTTCTTGATCAGGTTTCAACATATCTAGATGAGGGAAATAATCAATTTACTTCACCAAAGCTACTTCATAAATATATTTGTTAGACAACAGACATTCCTTCAAATAAATTCATTTAGAGACAACATAAAAAGCTTCATTTCTTCTCTTTGCTTTATTGGCCGATGTCCCTGTTTCACTTAGTTTCAATTTATTGTCCCAAGTCCTGATCTAAACCTTCCTAAACTTCTGTAGTTTCAGATCTGAGAAATAGATTTTGAATGCCATCAAAATCCTTGTTTTGATCCCACCCAACTCAAGCTTGGAATGGCTACTTGAATTTGACACTAACACCACCTCTTCTTGCTTTCCATGTCAATTGATTCTGGGATTACAGGGCATAATTTGCAGCTTGCAATTTCTATAAAGGCCTCAGGTTAATTCTTTCTTTTATTTCAGGAGCTTTGCTGCCATTAATCCTGTGCCATAAAATAAGGAACAAAATACCAGATAATCCACCACTTTGTGTGGTTTATTCAAGAAGTAAATTTCAATAGGAGGAAACTCAAGGCCAGTAAACAAACAGATCATATGCTAAATATAACTTAAAATATCTGAAGCATCCATTTATTTCATTTAGTTGCAATACCACACAAGTAGACTGTACTTATCATTTGACAGGATTATACATTTTAAGAATGTTAATTAACATACTTTTATATTTTCACTACCACACCAGGATGAGAAGGCATCATTTTTAACTTTAATGATTCAGAAAATAAAATTATTTTGAGACATATCAGAAAAAATCAATTCTGCGAAGGAACATTTAAAAAGAAAGTTGCTAAACTATAGTTGAAAACTTATATTAGGGATCTTAAATTTCTGGCCCTGTTATCTTTTGCAGCCCACACGTAACCAACAGGAGAGTGAGGCATAGAAATTGGCTAGCCCCTTTGTGCAATAATCATGAACACACATTATGAATCCTCCCTTGGGTTAGTCACTAACATGAAGCTTTGTTCCTAGGCATTGCAGCCTAAAAGGCAACTGCATTCCTAGTCTTACATCAAGGTGCAATCACAGCCACCGCTGTCAAAACGATGCTTTGTGGACTCTAAGCTTGGCCACTGAAAACACCTCAATGCAGCCTTATCTTCGCCTGTTCTACAGGTTTATAGCTGTACTTTCCCCCCTAAATCCATAGCAAGAAGAAACATGTCAGACCCACTGGTGCAGGTGCCAACTCTGGCCCCAGATGTGATGCCTTAATGCATGGTGAGGAGTGTAACTATATGGGCATGGAGCTGTTTCTTCTGGGCCTTGGATCCATTGTGTCTGACACAACCTTCATGCTGTTGCCTAATTTCCAGCAGTCTTTCTCCTGCTGTCTCAGTAGTACCAGAGATACTTTCCTCCTTCTTTTCTCCATTGGTTGCCCAGATTTTTAGAACTCTGAAAGTGCACCCGATATGTCAAAGGGCAAGATGGCAATGAAGAAGCATCTCAATTCTCTTTGTGCAATTGCCTCCTATTTATCTCTCAGGAAATATCCACAAAATACTCCACTATGAAGTACTTGAAAGACCAAAAACCAAGACTCTTTCACTCAATTCTTAGTTTGCCATGATAAGCTTTCACTTCAAACACGTGGTAAATGAAATTTTTATAAAATAAACAGGATATCAGTTATTAGGTTAATGTGGATCAAAATTGCATATATAAAATATACCTTATTTCATATGTATTAAATTAGAACTGCTGAGTTTAGTCACAGGAAGTACATAGTTCATGCTCCTTGCAGCAATTTATTGGCAAGAAAACAAATCTTCCAGCCACACAGAATCACATGAGAAATTGATAAGATGCTTGGATGTTGATTAGGGTCATTTGATAAGACTGGACCGATTTAAAAATAAAATCTTCAGTTTTATTAATTTTAATTAAATTGTTAAATATTAGTATATTAATCTTCCCCATTAATTGTAATGAGAAACTAGTCAACAGCAATTGTTTTTTCTCATATGGCAATATCGGATACATCAATACAGCTGGGCTAGGTAATCTTGCTTTGATTGTTTGATTTGACATTCTATCCATGCCCTGCCCTGTGATTACCTGGTTTAGGATTTATGGGTTTAAAACTGGGTACACCGCCCAGCATCACTGTGTGTCAGTTGGGTGGCCATATAAATTGTTTAATAAACATCTTCTCTGAATGTCTATGGAGATTCTCAGTTATCTGGGTCATGGTTGTTCCAAAGGTGTGTTTTCAAGAGGCAACTGGACTTTCTCATTTTTCTTTGAAGAAAGAAAAACCAGAAAGTCCAGTTGCCTCTTGAAAAAGCATCTTTGCGACATCTTCTCTGAATCTAGCCCTTTGTGGGTTCTTCAATAAACCAGGGTTAACCAAAGCATGACTTAAAATAGTCTCTAAACCTAATTAACATATCCAACATGAATGAATGAATTTGAGCTGGAAGGTACCTTGGAGGTCTTCTAGTCCAGATAAGTGACTCTAGATCACGGGTGTCAAACTCACGTCAGATTTTTCCCCCCAGCAGAGCTGGGATGGGTGTGGCCTGCATGTGACACATCCAGCCTGCAGGCTGCCAATTTGACACCCCTGCTCTAGGCTTTTCTTAAAAACATCCAGTGATGGAGCACTCATGATTTCTGGAGGCAAGTTGTTGCACTGGTTAATTGTCCTCACTGTTAGGAAGTTTCTCCTTAATTCTAGTTGTTCTCTCTTTGATTAGTTTCCAACCATTATTCCTTGTCCTGCCCTCCGGTGCTTTAGAGAATAATTTGACCCACTTTTTTTTTGTGTGGCAGCCCCTTAAATACTGGAATACTGCTATCATGTCACCCCTAATTCTTTCTTTAGACTAGCCAAACCCAAATCCTTCATGTTTTAGTATCCAGGCCTTTCATCATCTTAGTTGCTCTTCTCTGTTTTCCAAAGTTTCAACATCTTTTTTGTAGGTATGATGACCAAAATTGGTTGCAGTGTTCCAGGTGTGGTCTTATTAGGGTTTTATAAAACAGTACTAATATTTCACATGATCTTGATTCTATGCCTGTTTATACAACCCGGGATTGTATTTTATTCCCATATACATAGGCATAACACTGTATCCCTACAGTAGGACTGCACCCCTAAATTATTCCACACATTTCTTGGGAATCAATTCATGGAGCAGGTTGAGAACTTATTTATAAGAAAATGTGCATAGATTTGCAGAGATAGTCTCTCACATTTGTTTCTTAACTTCGTTTTCTATTTTCTGAACACTGTATAATGCAGATTTTTCTCCCTTTATTTTCTACTGTTTGACCCTTCGAAATTACAAGATTTGCTGGATTATGAAAAAACCATGTAACTTGCAAACTAGAAAAAGTATTTTTTAAAAAATAAATCCATCATTTTTCTTTAACAGGTACAATTTATTATTTTCCCAAATCATGATGCAATACACGCTGCATGTACTATTCTAAGCACATCTACCAAGAAAACCCATTAAAACTGCAGCTGGTGCAATCCCAGGAACAAGATTCATTGGGAAAATTGAGCACTTCCAAATAAAAATATGCATGGCTGCATGACAGGATGAGTTTGCTGCTGGTGCAAATTTAAACATAGTGCAATCGCCCTCCCAGGTCAATGGGTTAGGGTCTTCCTTAACTTGGTACTTCCTCCAGATTTATTTATTTGTCAAACATGTACAAGAAAACAAGTATAGGTATGAACATAAACATGAACAAAGGAAATAAATATAGATAAATAGGGACAATAACGCAGGGACAGTATGCACGCTGGTGCGCTTATGCACACCCCCTCTTAGGAATGGGGATGAGGTCCACGGTAGACACTTTGAGATAGAAGCTACGAGGGTTTGAGGCTGTAACAACGGAGTCGGGTAGAGCATTCCAGGCGTTGATGTGTGGGACTTCAGCTCCTTTCATTGGCATTAATTAATTAAGCTCCTTGATTAATTAGTTCAGTCCTTTAATTAATTCCATTGTTTGGGAAAGACGCCATCAAGGGCAGCAGCCTTTCGCTACTTCGCATGCGTTCCTACCCTGCGCCGTGCACGATTATGCAGCGTCTCTCTCCAGCCTCCCAGAGCTTCGAAACGAGAGCAGCCGCCCTCCGCAAGGACTCCGCTTTCAGCGTCTCCAGCTGGTTTTTCTGCGTCAACGCACTACCACCTAATTTCAGAATGCAATCCACTGCAGCAGCCATAGCGCCCAGACTTGCCCGCTCGCATTTGAACCGGCTGTCTTTTCTTTGCTGACGTCATATCCGGCCGATTTCACCGAAGCGATTTCAGGGTAGGCCGGCGGTTGCAAATGCAGGCCATGGAGTGAAATTGAGGAAAATTTTGAAAAAAATGACCGCTGACTGCCGCATCGAAGAAAATTTATTGCTTTTTTTTTGAGGCGGGGGGTGGGGGAGAGGATATGCAGGTGTTTTTATTTCAACTTTTCTTCCCTAATACTCCTTTAATAGGAGGCTGCTCTTTCTTTCTACCTTGTAATCAAACTCTCGAGGCGGGTTAAAAGCAAGTTGATTCCGGTTGAAGTAGAACTGCAGGTGTTCAAAGGCGCTGTTTTATGAGTTTTGTTTTCACAACTGGAACCAGGCTTATATGCATTTAGATAATTAATCGACAAGGGGAAAAAACGGGCCCTAGGCCACAGGTCTCCAACCTTGGCAACTTTAAGATTTGTGGACTTCAACTCCCAGAATTCTCCAGCTAGCTATGCTGGCTGGAGAATTCTGGGAGTTGAAGTCCACAAGTCTTAAAGTTGCCAAGTTTGGGGACCCCTGCGCTAGGCAATGCAATGCAATGCATTTGCGAACATTACTCTCCTTCCCCCCACCCTCCAGATTGCTGTACAATGTAAATCAGATGAGTGGGGTCAGAAAACCCACGGACGTTCAGTATGTGCCAACATAGATAATAGATGCCTTCATGCTCACTGAAACGGCTTATAGTGGGAAAAACATTCTGCACGTATTCATTGGCACTGCTAAGAATGTCTCCTTTTGCTGTTGGGATGGTGCTCAAAGGTAGCAAGGCATGTAAAACAACCCGAAATTCCAAGCACCTCTTGACAGGCAATGAAAAGCTGGCCCTGAAGTTACTCCCCAAGTAGTTTGAGCAATAACTCCCGTTATAGCACAAATCGGTAAAACGACATTGCGTCTTTAATCCCGCACCCGGAGGAACAGCAACGCAGCCTTTTCGCCTCTCCTACTTTAATATTATGCGACCCAGCCTGGAATCCACAGAGCGCAATCATCTGACTGACTTTTTGTTTTTTCTGGTTACTAAAAGGCTTGAAAATTATGAATAGTCCCTTAAATGGCAGAAGCGGTTTTGGTTGGTTTCTAGCAACGTCTATCACGGTGATGTCAGCAGAAAAAATCACAGCGAAAGGCGGACCCGATCGTTTCCAGGAGTCGGCGATGCTAAGGGTGAGTCTCTTGTTTCGTCGCCGGTAGCATTAAACGCCCCCGATGTTGGTTGGGAGAAAACGGGGAGCAGTTTCCTTAGCTTGTGGTACTGGGGGTATAGCGAAGCTCGGAAGGATCCGAACTCTGCCCGTGATCTGCGTGTTTGTCTGGTGGTTCGTGTCCTGAAAAATGGTATGGTTTGAAAGGGAATGTAAATTGCCAGGAGAAGGTGATCAGCAGGTACCGGTGGGTAGTAGCTATGAACTGCTGCCGTTCCTTCAGGAGTTGCAGCAAAAGGCACCCTTATTTAATTAGGGGTGGTTGTTTTTTTTATCATGACGTGCATGCAATCTCGTCACCTTTGCATTTACATAAAAAAAATCCAAAACCATCCAAAATCCAAAAATTAAGCAGATGTATCACATGCACACTTTTATGGGAGATGGAGAGGAGCGGGAAGCTATAGTTGGCTATCAAAGTTGGACAGTCTGGGAAATCTGGTCATTGTGCAAGAGAGCTTCTTGTCTCTTTCCCCTCTTTTTCTACTTTTTTTCTTTTTCCCTTAAGCAGGGGGAAATGCCTCCTCTTCCTCTTCCTTCCCTTTAGATTTGGACTACTCTACACCACAAAGAGGAAAAGGAGTGTAAAGTTTAGCAGATGCTTAAGAAAAATACTTTAGTGAAGAATGTATACTGAGACTTTAAGTCATCCAGGTCATGGTTGTCCCAAAGGTGCTTTTTCAAAAAAGGCAACTGGACTTCCTTTGTTTTTCCTTGAATAGGTTTCCCTTCTCATCCAAGATACTTCAGAACTGAAGAATGTCCTTGGATGAGAAGCGAAACATCTTCAGGGAAAAAGAAAGTCCAGTTGCCTTTTGAAAAAGCACCTTTGGGGTTTTAATGAAGTACTCCAGGAATAAGAGAATCAAGCAGAACACACAAGGGATACACAGTCTTTCTTTACAGTACGTGCTTTGGGATGGGGAGGGCGTGTAGAAATCAGAGGAGTGGGGAGAGCTGGGGTGTGAGGAGATGTCTGTTAATGGGTACTCCATTCCCATCACATGGTCACCCAGTTTCTCTCAAGGTATCTCTAAGATTGGAGTAGGTGTGTATCTCTTCAGTCCCTGCATAGACCCATCCCTCTTCAGTCTGAGCTTGACTTAAAATTATAGCTGCAGATGGTGTCATTTTCAAATCAATAACTGCATGTGAGATTCAGGAAAGTTTTTCCAGCTTAAGTTGTGTGGCTATACATAGTTTTCGACTTACAACTATTTGCTTGGTGTCAGTTCCAAGTTACAACAGCATTGAAAACGTGGATTATGTCTGGTTTTCATGCATCCCCACAGTCACATAATGAAAATTTGGGTGCTTGGCCACTGGCATGTATTTCTGATAATTGTACTGTTCCAGAGTTATGTGATCATCATTTGTAACCTTGCCAACCAACTTCCAACAAAGACAAGGGGGGGGGGGGAAACCAGATTTGCTTAATGACTGCATAATTCACTTAACTATAGTGATTTGCTTTAACAACTGTGGTAGAAAAGTTGATAAAATGGGACAAATAATCATTTAACAGTTGCCTTGCTTAAGCAATGAAAATTTTGCACTCAATCATGGTTGTAAGTCGAGGACTACTTTCATGATTAATTTCTAGTTTGGTGACTTCTTGAAATGTAGAAATTGGAATACAATTAAAACTATCCTCTTGGACTGAATTAATATAGATGTCTTTCACCCATATCATTAACATTATCTCATCCAATTTTGACCCTATAGAAAAGATTCTATTTTATAATCCATATGTTCGGCTATAGAGCTTATTGGAGATTCAAAGACAAAAAGTATAACTGATAGTAAAAGCACAGAATTTGTTCACAACTTTTAAAACTAAAGGGTTTTTTTTGTTTGGGGTTGTATGACAGCTGTGTAGTTACTCTGGGCAGTGAACAGAACTTAAATAACATAAAAACAATTATAATCATTTACAAAAATTAAAATACAAAGCACTCAAGAAGCAGCAAACTCAAATCACTAACACAACCAAGAGTGAATATTTTCAGTCACTCCTTTTTCCTTTTCTTGAGATAAGAGACTTCATTACCCAATAGCTAATCCATTTTAGTTTTTTCCTGGTTGCAAGACCTCATAACTTGAATAATACAACTATGTCTACCTTGTATCTTCCCATATCTTCAGTTGGGAGTAGCCAAAAGAGAGATGGAAGGAGGAGCCGAGAAGCTCCTGAAGTCAGGCCTTTCCCATTCATGACATAGTTCCTCAGTTGGTGGATGCATTCCCTACGGGCTGGGGGCATGCTAGAAGGGGGTGGCAGCAGAGCCGAGATTGGCAATGAGCAGAGCAAGATTTATACAGGCATTCTATGCCAGCTCAAAGATGGCTAGATAACACTTCAACACAATATTCAGGAAAGACAATATTATTGGGTTCTTTGGAAATGTTTGGTTTGTATAAGCATAGGTTTGTGTATCTTACTTTTGTATTTGTTTTTCAAAAAACAATCAGTTTATATGGCTGCTCATCTCAAATACATAAGATGGGTTGATACCAGTATTTAAAAGTAAATAAAATAAGTAAATTACAGTATACAAGAAATTAAAACACAAAGCAGCTAGATAAAAAAAACACACAATGTAACTGAACTTGAAAATTCTTGCATCAGTTTCTATGAAATTTGATATGCTTTATCTCTTCATAATGATGCAGTTTTTCTGTGAATTTCATTTCATTTCCATTCTAATGAACATAAAAATATGTGCCATTCCTCATTTATGCTTTTTCCAGATTGGCTAATTACAGTATGAGAGTAGAACTTTAGTTTTTATATTTATCCAACCAAATTGGGTACAAATTGCAAAGCATTCTCTGGACTGTCACAAGACAGAATGATGTCAAAATGGCTTGGATTGATAGTTGTGATGTCAGAATGGCTGGGTTAGACTTCACAGAGTTAGAAATAATATAGCTGGAGACTTCTGAATTCTACCAGACTTCTGGCAGTTTGTGCAACAAGTATTTCCCATAACAGTGGGTTTGATAATTGGAAGATTTCCCTAGTAATCAAAAAAGAGTATACAGATTGCATAAGTGGGGTTCATATATACAGCCTTTTTTCCAGGTGACATTATTCAATTATTCATTTTCAGCATTGCACGCTGGAGGGAAACATGGCACTAACCATCATCACTCTGTCTTATGAAGAAGTCTACACCAGGCACTGCATAGGAAGGGGAAGAATATTTTGGAATCTTTACATTTATGCAAAATCTTATCCAAATACTGTAGCAGGGTAACATATTAAGTATGTATGCATTAGATATGCTTCAGAAGTTTCGTCAAACTCAGTATGATTCCTTTGAGTCCTTCTTAAGATTCAGAGCTTCTCAGGCATCCAGGAATAACTTGGACATATCTTACATAAGTAAAGAAAGCAGGCTTTCTTCGCTGTCAAGAGAGTTTCTTGATAAATCTATCAATGTTTGATCTGGATCCCCCAGAGTATAAACCGAGAGCAATTTGAATGTCACAAAACTGTCTGTTTTTAAACATATGCTGGGAAACCATCTAAAACTCAAAGAGCATTGGGAAGGAGCAGAGCAGTCCCAATATAGTGAAAAAATAAAGTTACATAAAAACAGGACAGAGAATGAACCCACCCTTGGTGTGGTCTAAGACTAAAGCATTCAGTTCACATTCTTTTCAGATGACACAGTTTTGTGGTCTCTTTTATGTAACTGAACTGGCTTTTCTGTGTCCAGATGTTTGATTGTTTGCTGCCTAAAAGCTGAAACTTTCCAAAATATATGTAAATGTGAAGAGCACCTAAGATAGATGTGGCAGATATTTATGTATGTGGGAAATATGCATACGTAAGATCAAGTATCTTATTAATAATGCTTTTGCTTTTCAATGCTTCAGTAAAATGGAACTGGGAAAAAGTTCATTTTTACATAACTTTTCTTAGTAAAAGATGATCTAATCTAACTTAGTTGCTCTTTTTTATTTTTGCATTTTGAGACATAGCTGCTGGGATCTCAATCTTCATGAAGGTTGACCACTAATTAACTGATCTACCATTTAGAGCAGCTTTTTTTGAAAAATAAATACATATTTCTTTCTTACTATTGTAATTTTCCATTATTGTACTATTAAAGCGATAAGATGTAGCCAATGCAGCTGAAAAGTTTCATTCTTTTATGAACATGGAAATAAGTTAAACTGTGGCCTTCAGGTTACTTAAAAGGATATGAAATTTTAAAGTGTGAAAATGTGATTCAAATGAATTCATCTTTCCTGTATTTACATATATATATTTACATATACATATATATAACGTTGCTGCAACTTTAAAAGCACGACTATAATGACGTGGGAAAATACCCGAACAAAGCTGAATACCATACATGTAAGTACCCGCGAAAACTTAAGAAAACATATATACACACACACACACACACATACATATATATGCATATATATACTGTTATTAGATTATTTGTTGTGTATTCTAATCTGAAACTGAATGTACATCTTTTGTAGAAAATCTAATCCAGTTGCAGAAAAGCACAAGGTGTAACATGATAAAATGATAATATGTAATGAGCTATATTTAAAATCTAATGCAAGACTGGTTCTATTCAAATTGTCTTCTTTGCCCAAGGAATAGGAAAAGGCTGTTTTTTTCTTCTCTTCTAAACACGCTACAAGTTCTTGTGCAAATCTGTTGTGAACTATTGGCTTTTGATACATGTTTTTATTGCTTCAGGTTTTCAGGCCCTAAAAAAAGGAGGTATCATCAAAATTACATATATGCTGAGGAAACCAGCTTGTCACATTTTAGCAGATGAATTGTGATATCTAAATGTCTATAACGTTATAAAGAATTGGCTGATTTCTGTTGTTTTCCCTCCCCCCTCCAGGTAATGTTCATTTACACATCTGAGAAATCATGAAATCGGTGTCACTTGCAGCCATTTTTTGGTGTATCCTAATACCATCATTTGAGACCAGCAAGGTAAGGGAGGAAAATAGAGAAAAAAATTAGTTTATAATTAAATTTTTGTTTATGGATTTATTTCTAAACACGAACCCGAATTCATTTACTTGCTCTGATTTTTTTGATATCTGAATATAGTCTGCAGTCTGTCACTCTATTTTCTTTGATAAACACAATTATCTCAGCATTCGTACATACTGTCAGATCCATGCTCTTCATTGTATCATATACTCTATCAGCCAACAACACAATATTATTAAATACAAACGTACATCTATGTTCATGGTCCCAATCATCACATTTCTAATGTCACCACAAACTTTTGTTATCCATTTCTTTCATAAATACATTAAACAATCAAGGAGATATCATACAGGGAGATCTCTATCCTTATCTCATTCCCTGTTCAGTGTTTAACCATTCACTGAGCATTCTATTTATTCTCACACAGATCTTAATTCCATTATATACTAATCTGATTCCCCTCGGTGATTAATGTTCAATTTTATATGCTGGTGGGGAGCAGTGGCCTGGAACTGGTTCCTGGAAAGACCAAATGACTGAGTTTAGAGTTCTTTGGTTGAGAATTGCTATCTCTGGTCTTGGAAGAGGTGGCACTGCCATAGATAGATCCAGTGTGTAATCTGGAGGTTCTTTTGGACTCACAACTCCTGCTCAAGGGCCTTTGTGCAGCTGTGGCTTGTGCATCAGTTATGCTCTTTCCTGGACCAACGATCCCTCCTCTCAGTTAATCACGCCCTAGTAACCTCCTGTCTTGACTATTGTAATACCCTGTACATGGGGTTGGTCTTGAAAAGAAGCTGGAAGCTCCAATTGGTTCAAAATACAGTGGTCCGTGTTGTTTTGTGCAGATGTAGATGTGCATTGGTGTCATCTCCTGTGGGAGCATCAGTGGCTACCAATCTCTTCTGGGTACAATTCAAGATGCTGGTTGTCACCTTCAAAAAACCCACATGGCTTGGAGGGTAGGTTATCAGAAGGACAGTCTCTTCCTGGTTATAGCCATCTGACCCACCAGAACTGGGTGGCAGCAAATGTGGGTCTCCTCTCCTACGGAGGTACATCTGGTGGGATCCAGAAGAATGGCCTTCTTCATGATGGTTCCCTCTTTTTGGAACATCCCTGTGGAAATTAGAGTGGCCTTCACTTTGACATTCTTTTGCAAGGCCCTGAAGATCTGGTTTTGCCAAAGGGTCTGGGAACCCAGAGTAGGATGGAGCTCATCAAGTGCTTATTTGGTTGATTGTTGTTGCTGGCAAAAGGTATTGCTTTGTATTTTTTGTATATTGAATTTTTATTTTGGTAAGCCGTCCAGTCGCTGAAAGTGAGTGGACAGCCATACAAATTTTCTTAAATAAATAAATGTTACTGAAGTAAAACTTAACAGTTGTAACAACCAAGATGTAGTTCAAGAAAATATCTCAGGTTCTCCAGCATAATATGACATGACTGGAAAGAGTATCGTTAACTACTTTACTTTGCAATGAGGCAAAACTATTGGTCACACATACTGCTTATTCTAGTTGTATCCTATTTTTCTTCTATAGACATTTGAAGACATACGCTGCAAGTGTGTCTGCCCACCATATCGGAATATAACAGGACAGATTTACAAGAACAATGTATCACAGAAAGATTGGTAAGACAAATTTCAGAAGAGATTCTCAAAGCCCATAGAATGTTTGCAAGATGTGATTGTTTTAAAAAGCTGGTTTAAAAACTGGTCTTCAGACAGTGAAATGAACTAATCTCATACTTTCTGTCTCATCAATTGGATACTTTCTCCCTGTACATTTTATCTATTTGTATATCTGTCAAAGGAATTAACTTAGTGATGCAATAACAGACTCAAAATTATCCAGCTAAATGTAACATTAAATTCTGTATCCTTGAAAACAGGTGAATTTCCATATGATAGAAGGCTTTTGATGCCCGTTGTTGCTTCTTGTTTCTCACTACAGTAATTGCCTGCATGTGGTGGACCCTATGCCAGTGCCAGGACATGATGTTGAGGCATATTGCCTGTTGTGTGAGTGCAAATATGAAGAACGAAGCACCACGACTATCAAGGTAAAATACCAATCTATCTCTTACACCAGCTCTCTCTGTCTTCTGTCCTCACTGTATAACACTAAGAATGTTGGCTGTTGACAACTGTCAAGGAAACTGAAAAGAGAATCTGCAAATATACTCACAAAGAAATCAGCATTGTGAGATTGAGGCAAGAGTATCTACATTGGTAGTTCACCCAGTTAGTGTTTCTCATATAGATCTTACCTTCTAGTGAAAGCTGCATTTGAGAATCATATCTTAGATTTCTTAAGAAATCAAGGAAATAATTTTAGTCATGTTTTGGTTATTTACTGTATATAAATGTTTGATTTTGGACTGTTTAACTTCACTGGGAAAGGTGTTTTTTTCATCCTTTCTTAAATCTGATGTCTTCAGACAATGCAGAATTTTGAATGTGCATATACTTCCAGCAGATTGAAAAGGCATCAGATTGGGGAAATCCAACCTGGTATCCTTGCCATATTTTGATCTTAGCACTTTCTAGCACTGGTAATTTTTTAGCTGATTTCCCCTATTACAATATAGATGTTGAAGCTTTGCTCAAAATATGTCCTCTTATCCAGGATCTTTGATGACATTTTGTGTTCATGCAGATTATCATCATCATTTATCTCTCAGTGATTGGAGCTCTTCTACTCTACATGGTCTTTTTAATGGTAGTTGACCCTTTTATCCGCAAACCTGATGCCTATACACAGCCCCTGCACAATGAAGAAGAGTCAGAGGTGAGTTTGATGCTCTTTAAATAGGTTGTTTTTTCTTTCATTTGGACTTCCTGAATCTGGTGTCTTCCGTACGTTGCTTCCCACAATCCCCCACTTATTAGATTGTGGGAATTAAAAGCTAATAATTTTGGAAAGCCTGAGATTCTGGAAAGCTTGGTAGTAATCAGACCTTTAAATCTATGTGTTCAACAGTGGAGATTTCTACATACCAATCACTTTACAGAACAAAACGATTGGTATATAGAAACCTCTATGTATGCTTATTCACTTATTCACATAACATTTTCTGTATGCACAGTAACAGAAGACTTCCCACCCACAGAGGGAAAGGGAAGTCTTTTCCCTCTAGATACCCTTCTCCCAAATGCATACACATCTTCATCCTTTCCAGAGAGCATAATGCTTGAGAAGGGTTTAAGATATGCCTCAAAATCTGTTTCTATAATCAGCACTCAGAACTAACATTTCCAAGCTGAAATATTGCAGATAAGTTGAGACTGTAGCTTTCTGAAGTCTGGGGGTGACTGGGTTAGAGAAGGTACCTTTAAAAAATTAGTGACATAAAGAAATTGGATTTCTTTCTATGATCTCATTCTGGATTGTGGATTGCATCTTTGAAGTTCACGCACATTAAATACGAGCACATTTTATTTTGAAGAAAATGTTTTAAATTCCCATTAATTATGTTTCTGAGATAATTCTGAAAGGATTTTATTTTGTATGTCATTCATTCATTTGAATTAGAACGCTGAAGCAGTGTTTAAAATAAGGCTGTTTGTTTCAGAACACATTTTTCTGAACTACAGCTCATGATCAAGAAAGAGGGAAAGCTAGGAATTATATTTCAGAAATATCTCCAATTCTGCTTTAAAGAATATGGCAACAGTGCAATATAACATGATTGTATTGATTATGGAAACTTATATTTTTGATAGACAGAATGTTACCCAGACATTTCATTGTAATTCTGTTGCATTTGTTTTTATAGAAGGTAACTAACCACTCTTAATAATCTGAAGCATACTGCAGTAATTTCTCTGCCTTGGGATATTTTCTGTTGTTAATGATGAGCAGTTTAACCTTGCTATTTTCACAGTGTGCACCTGTCCATTGTTTTAAAAATATTTTGATTTGTCTTTGTAGCCCAAGGTGGAGTGTTACTACTGCGCATCTGAAATGCTTTTTCTTTGAGATGTTTCTTCTTCTGTTACTGCAGGTTCCCTGTTCCTTGACAGCTATCCGTCCTTCAGCGAATGCTAGAACAAATACAGTGCTGGAGAGAGTGGAAGGAGCCCAGGAAAGGTGGAAGCGTCAGGTGCAGGAACAGCGGAAGACTGTGTTTGATCGGCACAAGATGCTAAGCTAGACCTTTTATTTTAGGTGTGAGCTGCAGCTGCTGGTTAGCTAGGCAAAATTTTGTTCGCCAGTACAGACCCCAAATCTGTAGTTTAAATATCTTGCACCTACTGTTTCTTATTGGATTTGCTTGTTGTCTTCCTCTTCAGTCCACCCAAGAGAATATGCTGCATTTGAAGCAAGCTGCTGGCTGCACATGCCATCTATGATTCTATGAGGACTGCCACTTGCTTTAAATAACTCTAGGATAACTATTTGACTTCAAAAATGAGAAACAATTGCAACTTTGGATTCTATAATCTGCCAAGCATTGGTCTGGTTTGGTGATTAAAAAAAGGCATGCATTTATTTGTTACTGCTTACTAACCTATGGCTTGGCTTTTAGTTTGAGTTGGATGTATTATTAATAGAATGAGAATAGCAACATCCTTTTCATTCCATTGACTGTATGCCGATATATGATCCTTCACTGTTGCAAAATAGAGCAACAAAATAGAGCAAAAGTGGCTTGGGTCTATGTATAACATGCTAGTTTGAAAAGTTGGCACTAAAGATAGAAATGCAATAAGGGAAATTAACTTGCCATAAAGGAGTTACTGTATTTGGCTCATAAATTCTTACAGATTCTTCCTTCAAGGATTTTTTGGGGGATAGTTAACTTTACACCAAAGAAATATGGACAGATTTTTTTTTTAGCACTATCATAGGTAATGGTAACCCATGGGTAACCCATCAGAATAATGCTTCTGGATTAATTCTCAGTCTCCTAAAGGAACCAAACCAAGAAACTTGTGGATGCCTCTTTCACATGCAGATTTTTAAACAATGAAATGGGTATACAGATTGTCGTATTTCTTTGCTTTGGAAACAGCTTAATTACTGCCTAGGTTAGATCTTAATTTTCATAGTATGTTGAACAGATGAAGCCATTGCTGTTCATACAATTTCATATGCAAACAAAGAATGTTTTCCACATATTAACTATTGAAAATCTTTTGCTTTAAGAGTTATCTGCACAGGAAGGAAACTAGATTATTCAGTGCAAAGGAAATAGCCCTTCTACATATGGCAGTTTGTCCCAGTATGTAGAACTGGATTCTACTATCAAAGGACATTTATAGAAATGTAGCCTTAGATTTTAATATCAGTTCAAAGAATGACATGCAATATGCAAAATAAAGTTTAACTTGACGTAATGGAAAATTTCCTGCATGGATTTGGAATTTTTCCCTTGGCCTACATGGCCATAATTATTTTATTGTAATTTTACAATACATCGACCAATTGCTTGCCCAGATATATGGGATATTGTATTGAAATGTGTTTTTATGGTACTTGTAGCAGCCAGATTTATGCCACCAATTAAGGGGAAGTAGTATTACCAGTATTTAATGGTGAAATGTAATTTTGTAATGGTAGCTCAGATGCAAAAGGCACCATCAAGAGATCTTGAAGGTTAGACAGTATTTTTTTCCGCATGCAAAAATATTTATGTATTAAATGACCTACTTTATCTCTTACAATATCTCTTGCAAATTGCATCAGTCTTTGTTACTATGAAGCATCTGTTCATTAAAGTATGTACAATATTACAGACGTCAGGCATAATTCAATAACTAAAAGGAAGTCTGAAGACTGAACCTCATTTCCTAGAACCATCTCAGTGCATAACTATTAAAAATCAATAGCATCATTTCATGTTATTTTGAGATAGAAGAATTTTGGAGAGCATAGTTTAAAACTTCCCATAGATTTAATATAATTTAAAAACAAGTGTTAGCTATCCATTTATATAATTTTTTTCCCAAGAAAATATACATACCATCTTCTATCCAAATCTATGTAAGATAGCAATTCATCTAGAGCCTCAAGTATGCATCTTCCCTCCCACTTCTCTTAATGACTTGAAGCTGAGTAAGAAGCTTAAAATCCCCGAGCAAGAATGGTATACTAAAATATAACAGTACATTATTCTAAATCAGTATACAAATGTACTAAAGCTATATGGGGATTCCTTCAAATTAAAATATAAACATTGCTTCCCTTTTCTATTTCTTCCTGTTGTGTTTCTGCGTATCTCTTATTAAAGCAAGTCTCTTGGTAAAGTTGGGATTGTTCAGCAAAAGTGCATAGGAATCTGAAGAGGTATCCTTAAAGTTATACTGGATTAGCAGGATGCCCTTCCCTTGAATCTACCTCAGCCTCATAATGAAAGCTTTAGATTTTAGAAATGCATAACATTTTTTCCTGTTAGATTTTTTTTCATCAGTCATAATTGATCATTTTTAACAGATGAACAGAAATAATTCACCAGGACATTACTCTGTTGATTTTACAGGAACAAATGATTAAAAAAAAAGTTTATGCTGAACTAGTTAGCTTAAGTGAATTTTACTTAGAAGAGGGGCTTTTAGAACCACATCTCTTAGGCGTTCTCTTAATGACTGCCGCAAAACAAGGTATCTAAATCAGATTGATCATATGATAACCTACTTTATGACCATTACAACTTATGACTATAAAGGGCAGGCTCATTTGAAGACCGCCTTTGTTTTGTAAGCATTTTTACTGACAGCTCCAGGAAGGACTGCATTTTAAAGAGGAATTGTGTCACTAGTACATTATTCCTCCTCTGAGATAAGATGGAGATGATTTCTGAAACTGGATCCCAGACCTATGAAGAACTTAATGGCAAATAAAGGATCCTTCAGTTTTTGATAGACAAACTCCTTTAACAGACAAATTATCATCTTGGCTCCCCTGAGTGTGACCACTGGAAGACCATAGAACCTTGGATGGTGCTGGATCCATTTCCTGGGCTTTGGCAGTTCAGGAGGATGAGATCTTATTTTATTTTGCTGGCCCCAAAGACCATGGCATTTGATTTCCTTCCATCACTGCCTCTTTCTTAAGCACTTCCACTTTCTCCAGTTTAGCTTCTCCTTCTTCCACACTGCTATTACTTGGACAATATTTATTTTTTTATCCCGCCTTTATAATTTTTATAAGTAACTGAAGGCAGTAGACCTATCCAATACTTCTTCCTCCCACTGTTTTCCACACAACAGTCTTATGAGGTAAGTTGGAGTGAAAAAAAGTGATTGACCCAAAATCACCCAGCTGGCTTCCACATCTGAGGCTGGACTCTGGTCAGCAGGACCAGAACCAGTGGATTGAAATTATGTTGGTGAGATTCAAATTCGATATTGGAAGGTATTTATTAGTTGTTGTTTTAACAAACCATCTTTATTACTTGTATAAGTAACTCAGAGTAGCCTCTTGGTAAGAAATACTGTATTAAAACTACCCCAAATTCCAAGGAAATCTTCACAAGGAATAAGAAGCTAGCACTGAAGTTACTGCATTCACCTATCGCTTCAGCCTTCGTATAGCTTTCCAAATATTATTTATTTTAGTTGTCAAGCATGTACTAGATAACATATAATTAGAACATGATTATGTTACATGATTATACGACATGATTATACTACAAAACATCGCGCATTAAGCCAGCACCCGGCAAAATTGGACATCTCGGTCGAAGCCGAAGATCAGAATAAGATCAGAATAACAGAGTTGGGAGGATCTTGGAGATTTTCGAGTCCAACCCACTGCTCGAGCAGGAGACCTTTTACCATTCCGGGAAAAAGGCTGTCCAATGCCTTCTCGGAAACCACCAGCGAAGGCTACGCGGCCTTTTCGCCTCTCCTGCTTTAAACGTTCTGTCGTCCAACCTGGAATCCAAAGAGCGCGGCCGTTTGACTGAACGTTTAAAATTTGACTAAACGTTCCAAAATTATTAAATCGCGGAGGCGGCTTTGGTTGGTTTCTAGCAACGCCTACTTATGGTGATGATAGCCAAAGGCGGATCCGACCGTTTCTAGGAGCCGTCGCTGCTAGGTATGTCTCTTGTTCCTTCGCCAATAGTATAAACCCCCCCCCCATGTTGGTTGGGAGAAAACGGGGAGCAGTTTCCATAGCAACCTGTTGTACTATGGGTGTAGCGAAGCTTGGAAGAATCCGAACTCTGCCCGTGATCTGCGTGTTTGTCTGATGGTTCGTGTCCTGAAAAATGGTATGGTTTGAAAGGGAATGTAAATTGCCAGGAGAAGGTGATCGGCAGGTACCGGTAGGTAGTAGCTATGAACTGCTGCCGTTCCTTCAGGAGTTGCAGCAAAAGGCACCCTTATTTAATTAGGGGTGGTTGTTTTTTTTATCATGACGTGCATGCAATCTCGTCACCTTTGCATTTACATAAAAAAAATCCAAAACCATCCAAAATCCAAAAATTAAGCAGATGTATCACATGCACACTTTTATGGGAGATAGAGAGGAGCGGGAAGCTATAGTTGGCTATCAAAGTTGGACAGTCTGGGAAATCTGGCCATTGTGCAAGAGAGCTTCTTGTCTCTTTCCCCTCTTTTTCTACTTTTTTCTTTTTCCCTTAAGCAGGGGGAAATGCCTCCTCTTCCTTCCCTTTAGATTTGGACTACTCTACACCACAAAGAGGAAAAGGAGTGTAACGTTTAGCAGATGCTTCAGAAAAATACTTTAGTGAAGAATGTATAAATATTCAATTCACATTCCTTGCAGGTGATGGAAGAGTTTTCTGGTGTCTTTTATGTGACTTGACTGGCTTTTCTATGTCCAGTTTGATTGTTTGCTGCCTAAAAGCTGAAACTTTCCAAAATATATGTAAAAGTGATGAGCATCTAAGATAGAGGTGGTAGGTTGCATATGTAAGATTGAGTATCTTGCTAAGAATGCTTAATGTTCCCATAAAATAGTACTTGGAGGAGGCTCATTTTTACACAAACATTTCTTAGTAAATGATGATCTAATCTGATCAATAGTTCTTTTTATTTTATTTCCCTTTAGGAAGACAGCTGCAGAGATCTTGAGCTTGCTTTTTAATTAAGATGTATCACTAATTAACTTTGGCTCTACCAATAAAAGCAGCTACTGTGAAGAACAAATACATATTTTGTTTCCTATAATTGTTGCACAGTTCATAGTGCTATTAAAGTCATAAGATAAACATGCATTTTAACCAGTGTAGTTGAAATGTTTTGTAAACATGGAAAAATAAGTTACAACGTGGCTTCAATTTTAATTAAAAACATGAAATTTGAAATAATAAAATTGTGATCTTTCCTGTATATTGATTTTTTTCTTAATGTTATTAGATTATTTGCTTTATGTATAAATTCTATGATGAAAACTTATAGTCTTTTACATATCAACTGCAAACCATTTTATTCTCCATGTGTGTTCTCATTTCTCCTAATATTTATTTATTTATTTGATTTGATTTGTCAATCACTTACAAGATAATAGGTATAAGTATATACATAGTTATGAATACATGAAATGGGTACATATAAGAAAAATAAAAGAAACAATAGGACAGGGACGGTAGGCCCGTTGGTGCACTTATTCACGCCCCCTACAGACCTCTTAGGAAAGGGGTGAGGTCAATAGTAGACAGTCTAAGGTTAAAGTTTTTGGGGTTTGGGGAAGAAACCACAGAGTCAGGTAGAGTATTCCAGACATTGACCACTCTGTTGCTGAAGTCGTATTTCCTGCAATCAAGTTTGGTGCGGTTTACCTTGAGTTTGTATCTATTGTTTGCTCTTGTATTGCTATGGTTGAAGCTGAAGTATTCATTGACAGATAGGATATTGCAATGTATGATTTTATGTACTATACTTAGATCGGACCGAAGGTGGCGTAGTTCTAGGTTTTCTAGGTCTAGAATTTCAAGTCTGGTGGCATCAGGTATTCTGCAATGAGTAGAAGAGTGGAGAACTCTTGTGAAATATTTCTGGACTTTCTCAACTGTGTTAATATCAGATACGTAATGCGGGTTCCAGACTGATGAGCTGTATTCAAGTATTGGTCTAGCAAGTGTTTTGTATGCTCTAGTTAGTAGTGTGATATTACCAGAGAAAAAGCTACGTAGGATTAGGTTAACAACTCTTAATGCCTTTTTGGCCATGTAGTTACAGTGGGCTCTAGCACTTAGATCATTAGAGATAAGTATTCCAAGGTCCTTTACAGAGCTTGGATCATCAACAAGGTCTTGACTATTCAGCTTGTATTTTATTTTCTGATTTTTTTTGCCAATATGTAAGACAGAACATTTATTTGTTGAGATTTGAAGTTGCCATTTGTTTGACCATTCTGATACATAGTCAAGATCATTTGAAGGGTAGCAGTATTGTCTGTGGTATTGAACAGCTTTACATCATCAGCGAAAAGAACGTAGTTGCTTTTAATATGATCACAGAGGTCATTTATGTAGAGTATGAAGAGAGTTGGTCCTAGAACACTGCCTTGGGGGACACCACTATTGACAGGTACAGAATTTGATAAGACACTCCCAATTTTGACCATTTGTTGTCTGTTTGACAGGAATGCTTCTATCCAGTTACGCAGTTGTCCAGAGATACCACAAGATTTTAGTTTTAGTAGTAGTTTGTCGAGTACCACTGAATCAAAGGCTTTACAGAAGTCTATGTAGATTGCATCTATTGTTTTGCCCTGATCGAGCTGTGTAGTCCATATGTTTTTGCAGTGTAAGAGTTGCAGATTACAGGATAGTTTTTTTCTGAAACCAAATTGTTTATTAGAGAGTAGGTTGTTTGTGTCTAAGTGGAAGATGATGGATTGGTTAATAATTGATTCCATGACTTTACAGGTGACGCAGCATAAGGAGATTGGTCTGTAATTTTCAACTAGGCAGGGGTCTCCCTTTTTGAAGATGGGGATGACCGTGGCTTGTGACCATAGGTTAGGCAAGGAGCTGGTCCTGAAAGATTTTTCAAAGATTATGCTTAGAGGTTTGGCTATGGCAGTGGATAGCTTTTTTAAGAAGTACGCACATATTCTGTCCGGTCCAATAGATAGAGATGGTTTTAGATTGTGTAGTGCTTTTTCAACATTGTCTTCTGTAAAATCAATATGTATTAGATCATTGTAGTTTTCTGTGGTTCGGCTAGGAAATACTGGGCATGATCCATTGCTGTTTACAAATACTGAGCCAAAGAATGTGTTAAAGATGTTGGCTTTAATGGTGTCATCGTTGCAATCTTTACCATTAGGTCCTATCAGGGGTGGGATGGACCTTGAGTCTTTTAGTTTGTTGTTTACAAAATTGTAAAAAGCGCGGGTGGAATTGGTGCGTAGAAGGTTTTCCTCTTGTTTAATGTGATAATAGGTGCATTCAGTCTTTATCTGGTGGCATAAATTTTTGTATCGGCTTTTGAAATTGGCAACGTGACCAGATTTGTTTTTCCACCAGAGTGATTTCTTTTTGTATTGAAGCTTCCTTATTGTTATGGGTAATCTGTTTTTGTTGTTGTTGTTTTGGGAGTTGTTGTTGGTACATATAGTTTGATGACTCTTTTGAGTTCAAGTAAAAATATGTTGTAATGGTCTTCAACAGTATTGCATCCAGTGAATAGAGATTGCCAATCAAGGGATGAGAGATCGTTGTCTATAAGATCATAGTTGCCTTTTTTAAAATTATAATTGGGGATTACGTCATTGTGATGATTTTTGTGTGGGCATATGTTGAGACAAAAGTCAATCATATTGTGGTCACTGCTGGAAAAGGGTTCTTTAGTTTGTATTCCGTAAATTAAATTCAAACTATTGCAGAAGATGAGATCGAGGCAGTTATTTAGTCTAGTATTGTTGGTTACTAGTTCTTCTAGTCCCAGATTTGTAACAGCATTGTAGAAGGTTACGTGTATGGGTTCAGTTGTACATTCATTTAGGGTCAATATGAGGTAGATTGAAGTCACCAAGAAAGATAAAAGCGTGTGGGCATGATGTTGCCCATGTTAGTAGTAAATTTAGCTTGTTTACATGTTCGATGTCATAATCAGGTGCTCTGTAACATAGAATTGAAATGTGATATTTAAGGATATTTCACAGATGATGGTCTCAGGAAGAGCAAGCTCCTGGGTAACTTGGATGTTTTTTAGATGTAAGGACTTTTTATAGAAGATAGCAACACCACCTCCTCTACGAATTTCACGATTTGATCGGTAAACATGATAGCCTCTTACTGTGGTAATGGAGTCAGGGAGAGATGTGTTGAGCCATGTTTCACAGACAAATATGATGTCGAATTTTGCCATATTTAGTAAGAGGAGAAATTTAGGTAATAATAGCTGTGTATATTCCGCCACAAGCTTGTGTAAACAAGGAATTACAAACTCTAGCTGATCAGATTATGGAGGCTGAAGCCAAACACCCAGATTCCCTTCCCATCATTTTAGGAGATTTCAATCAAGCAAATTTAAGGAAATTCCCAAAATATTTCCAGCAAGTCAATTGTCCCACAAGAGGCAAAAATACTTTAGACCGGGGTTTCCAACCTTGGCAACTTTAAGACCTATGGACTTCAACTCTCAGAGCTGGCTGAGGAATTCTGGGAATTGAAGTCCACAAGTTTTAAAGTTGCCAAGGTTGGAGACCCCTGCTTTAGACCACTGCTACACAACACTAAAAGATGCTTATAGGTCTTTACCACAAGCAGTTGTGGGACACTCTGATCACTGCATGATTCACCTTGTACCTGCCTACAGACAAAGACTTAAAACCATGAAACCAATCAATTAGGACTTGGACTGATGAGGCAAAGCTGAAGCTACAGGCTTGCCTTGATTGCACTGAATGGAATGTTTTTGAAGATACCTCTGCAGATCTAGATGAGTTCAAAGATACTGTAACATTATGTCAGCTTCTGGGAAGACCCATGTGTACTGACAAGGAACCTGTGAATATATAGCAACAATAAACCTTGGTTCACAGCAAAACTTAAGCAGCTACATCATTCCAAAATGGAAGCCTATAGAAAAGGTGACAGTACAATCAGGCCAGAAATGTATGAAGAAGAGAGATCAGAGCAGCAAAAAGAAGCTACTCTGAAAAGTTAAGGAATCAGTTCTCAACAAATGAATCAGCAAATGTGGAAAACTCTACCAACATCACTGGCTACAGCAAACCTCCTTCCCAGGCAGCAGGAAATCAACAACTACCAGATGACCTGAATGTTTTACTGCAGCTTTGAAAGATAAATACAGCCACCTATCTCCACAACCCCCATCTCAAACACACCAATAATAGCCAAGCCTCCTACAACTGACCACATCTCAAACACACCAACATCAGCCAAAGCTCCCACAACTACCCCAACCCATTGGGTTCACAACCTCTGGTGATCACAGAAAAAGAAGTGCAAGATCTGTTTCACAGACAAAAGCCAGGAAAAGCACCAGGGCCAGACAAGATAACTCCTTCTTGTGCTGACCATTTGGCCCCCACCTTCACTTCAATTTTCAATAAATCACTAGAGATGTGCTATGTTCCTATTTGCTTCAAATGCTTGACTGTCATCCCAGTGCCAAAGAAACCCTCCATCAGGGAACTGAATGACTACAGACCAGTTGGTCTAACATTTGTAGTTATGAAAACCTTTGAAAGGCTAGCGCTGTCCCACCTGAAAACCATCACAGATCCGCTGTTAGATCCATGCAATTTACATACCGAGCAAATAGATCGACAGATGATGTTGTTAATATGGCTCTGCACTACATCCTACAACCCTTTGAATCTCCAAATACTTACGCAAGGGTCCTCTTTGTAGACTTCAGTTCAGCATTCAATACCATCATTCCAGACACACTTCTAAGTAAATTAAACCAACTAGCGGTACCTGAACACACTTGTAAGTGGATCATAAGCTTCCTAACAGACAGGAAGCAGCAGGTGAAGCTAGGCAGAATCACATCTGATACCTGTACAATTAGCACAACAACAACACCCCTAGGCTGTGTGCTTTCTCCACTTCTCTCTATATACCAATGACTGCATCTCAAACGATCCATCTGTTAAAATACAGAAGTTTGCAGATGATACAACAGTGATTGATCTCATTCGAGACAATGAATCCGCATACAGATGGGAGGTTGTACAACTTGCCTCGTGGCGTGACTGGAACAATCTGGAACTGAACATACTCAAAACCATAGAAATGGTGGTAGACTTCAGGAGAAACCCTCCCATACTACCACCTCTTACAATACTAAACAACACAGTATCAACAGTAGAGACCTTCAAATTTCTAGGTTCTACTATATCACATGACCTAAAATGGACACCTAACATCAAGAACATCATCAAAAAAGCCCAACAAAGAATGTTCTTTCTGCGTCAACTCAGAAAGCTCAAACTGCCCATAAGGCTGCTGATGCAGTTCTACAGAGGAATTATTGAGTCTGTCTCTATAACTGTCTGGTTTGGTTCTGCAACCCAACAGGACAGACACAGACTTCAGAGGATAATTAGGACTACAGAAAAAAAAACAATCACTCTGCTAAACAAATAATTCCCTCAACACTGTTCAACTATTACAAAGTCTGCACTACTATTACTGTTAATCCTCCCATCCTCCCTTTCACCCTTCTCCTCCCACTTATGACTGTATGATTGTAACCTTGTTGCTTGTATCCTGACAATTTTATTGACTGTTTCCTAGTATGATTGGATTGCTGATTGCTTATGGTGTGCCTATGATTATTATTAAGTGTTGTACCTTATGATTCTTGATGAATGTATTTTTCTGTTACGTACACTGAGAGCATATGCAACAAGACAAATTCCTTGTGTGTCCAAACACACCTGGCCAATAAAGAATTCTATTCTATTCTATTCTATTCTATTCTATTCTATTCTATTCTATTCTATTCTATTCTATT